GAGCACCAACTTCCATCTGGAGACACACTACCTCCCACCCAACTTCTCCACCCTCATCTTTTTCCTGCTCATGACTGCGATGATGCTGACCTGCTTGCTGGCCTTCTTCTTCCTCACCCGGCAGCCCAAAGTGTGGGAGCTCTCCCAGCAGCACCTCTTTCCCAGCCACATTGTGCTGAGCTCATTTGACCAGATCCTTGATGAGGGAGCTGACTCGCACCTCAGCAGAGGCTGCTCATGCCCAAAGGATCCCAAGGGACCTGGGGACATCCTGCCACAGAAGGTCTCCTACTCCCTAACCCAGCTCACCCTCATCTACCTCCTCATCGCCTGGGTGAGCGCCCTGACAAACGGGGTCCTGCCATCCGTGCAGTCCTACTCCTGCCTCCCCTACGGGCACACCACCTACCACCTGGCAGCCACGCTCAGCTCCATGGCCAACCCCCTGGCCTGCATCGTGGCCATGTTCCTGCCCAGCAGGTGAGTTGCAGGGCCCTGGGGGTTGCAGCAGGGTGCACACCAGGGGCTTCTGCCCCAAGAGGGGCCCCTACTTTGCAAGGGTTGGGAGTGTAGGCTGGGAGAGGGCCTGTGGGGTGACCATGCCCTGGCAGCACAGACACCTCGGGAAAGGAAGATGGAGCCTCTTTCCTTTCATGCATCTTCTCAGTGCTTATCTTTTATATCAAACTTCAAGAAACAGAGCTGGAACATTTCTGTGTGGAGAATAAGTAGAAGCAGTATAAAGCTAATAGCTGCATCTATATCTTTAACTGAGATACAAGGAGCCGGAATGTGCTGCGTGTCTGTGCTGCTCACCAGGGAAAGGTTGTGTTCTCCAGTGACACTCACATCTCCCTTGCAGGTCCCTGACCCTGATGGTCCTTCTCACTATGGCAGGGACAGGCTTTGGTGCCTACAACATGGCCATTGCAGCGATGAGTCCCTGCCCGCTCCTCCAGCAGTCCCAGTGGGGCGATGTCATCATCGTAAGTCACAGTGTCCCTCTCGCTCAGGGAGGTCTTTGACACACACCTGGACCTGACCTCACCATGGTGTCCCCACAGTGGGAAACCCCTGGCCCTGACCACTTTTCCACCTGTGCCACCAGGTCCTCTCCTGGGTGCTGTTCACCGGGACGCTCTCCTACATGAAGGTGATGGCCGGGGTGATCCTGCGGAGCCGCAGCCGCAGCGCGCTGGTGTGGTACGGGGTGCTGGAGCAGCTGGGCTCCCTCCTGGGGGCACTGCTCATGTTCCCCCTTGTCAACGTCTATGGCCTTTTCAAATCTGCTGACTACTGCAACCTGCCGTGCCCAGCATGAGTGGGGTGGACGCTCCAAGACTGCTGCTCTTGCCAGCATGAACTCCCAGAACCAGCGAGGCTGGCTGGCTGGGAAGCAGCGCTGGGACCAGGACGGCTGCAGACACAGTTCCCTGATGGACTCTGCCAGGGCGCAGCATCTCCAGGGCTTTGTTCCCAGCCGGGGCACGGGGTGTTCCCATCCTGTGAAAACAATAGAAGGTGTTTTGTTTTATTTTATTCAGCCCTCTGCCTCCCTGCTGCCTACACCCCCCCATGCTGAGGGGGCTGTCTGTGGCAGTGCCCCCCACCTTGGGACCATGCCCAGTCCCTTCCCCTGGGGGTTCTGGCACCATTTGGCATTGTGCCCTAAAGCCCCCCTGGACTCTGTGGGTGGGCACAGCCCCAGCTGCACCGGTGGCGTTCCTGGCCCTGTGCTGTGGCAGCTGCCCCAGACAGGGGGTTTGCAGCCAGCTGGGGGGACTGGGGACAAAGGCGGCCATGGGGAGGGGGATGGTGGGCAACACGGAACATTCGCAAGACCCCCAATAGCAGCTGGGGAAACTGAGGCACAGTGGGACTGAAGCAACGTGTGATATTTGCCACCCTCTGCTGTGTTCCCATCCCCATAGCCCTGTGCCCCCCTGCACCCCATTTCAGCCCCACTGCACCTTGAGATGGGCAGAGCTGGAGGGGAGCCGCAGCAGAGCCTCGCACCAGAGCAGTGCAGGCAGAGTGCCCATGGCAGGGCTGGCACAGCCCCAGTGCGAGGGCTGGCCCACCTGGTACCTCGCTGTGCCCCAGCCGTGCCATCAGGGTGACACTGGGACGTGGCAGGCACGGGAGGTCAGGGCAGCGCAGCCCCGGGGTGGGACAGCGCCCGTGCCCTGCACGCGCCTGCGCCCCTTCCCTGGGGCACGAGGCAGCCGGGCCTTTGTCCCCGGCCCTTTGTCTGGCATCTGCTCCCTGCGCCGGCGGCAGCACCACAGCACGGATTGGAGCCACCTCGGGGCTCCGGCTGCGACCCGGACGCCTCTGGGAGGAACGAGACTGGAATTCCTAATGGCCAGCAGCCCCCCAGGCTGGCACTGGGGGGGTCCTGCAGCTGAGGCAGCAGGGAGGGCAGGGGTGGGGGCTCTGCCTCCTGGCACTAGTGGGCATCCTCGGGCAGATCCTGGCTGACCCCAGAGCCCGTGTCCAGGATCCAAGGAGGATGGGGGAGCTGAGGACCAGTGGGAGATGTGGGGGCACCACGGGGCAGCTTGTCTCATTCCAGTAGCAGGATATGTCCCTTGTGGGTAGACTGGGAGCTGGAGTAGGGACCTGACCTCTCTCCTCCTGCCCCTCAAGAGGATGATCCTGCCCTTGGGAGCCCCCAAAACCCCTCACCCACAGTACCCCCGCAGCCCCCTCCCTCTTGTCAGGGAAACAATTGCCTCCGATGGGAATTATTTCCATACAGCTGCTCAGGAAGGCACAAACCCGGTGGAGGAAGGCTGAGCCTTTCTTCTGGCGCTGCTCCCCCTCCCCACAGTGGCGGGGGCAGGTTTGGGGGGGCCCAGGCGCTGCCGTCAGCGCTATCAGCTCGGCAGGGCTGGCTGCGGTTATTACCATACATTATCGCAGTCCCCTGCCTCCGAAAGGAGCCGGGGCTGCTCCCCCCTCCCAGCCCTCCCTCCTCCTGCCTTTTACACTTAATTACCTCCCTTATTACACCGCAGCCTGGAGAGAGACAAAATCCCAGGGCAGCGGGCAGGCAGGCAGCAGGCAGCGGGCGGGCAGCGGGCGGGCAGCGGGCGGGCAGGCCCAACTAGGGCGTAAGTAATGCCCACTCTGCAAGCGTGCCTTCCAGGAGAGAGCAGGCACACGCACGGATAGATAAATCAGGGAGCCGGGAGAGGCCGGGAGCCCGGGGTGTGTGCGGGGGACGCCGCGAGCAGCCCGGCAGGCAGGCGATGTCCCCTCGGGGCCGGAGCCCTGCGGGAGAGGTGACCTTGAACTTGGCAGAGCCTTGACGTCAGGGCAGCGCTGCAGGGACAGATGGGACTCGTGGTGCTGCCGCCAGTCCCTGGTCAAGGGCAGCGGGAGCAAGGGCAGAGACCCCAGCCCACGCGGGGAGCAGCCCTGGGATCCTGTGGGATGTGGGGTGCTGTGGATATGGGATGCTCTGGGATGGGGGTGCTGTGAGCTGTGGGATGCACTTAGCTGTGGAATGCTGTCAGATGCTGTAGGATAGCGTGGGATATCAGATGCTGTGGGATGCTGTGGTCTGTGGGATGCTCTAGGATGTGGGCTGTGAGGTGCCCTGGGCTATAGGATCCTGTGGGGTGCCCTCGGCTGTGCAGTACCACACAAAGCAGTGAGCAGGGGCACTGCGATGCAGGGCTGGCTCCAGATGTGGCTCTAGGCACAACTGAAGGAGCAGACATGGCTGTGAGCAGGCAGGCCCGTGGTGCTGCCTGTGGGGACACTGCTTTTGGTCCCCAGACCCAGTGCCACATCCCTGGCCAAAAGGGCTGGTGTGCCCAGGGCTGCCCCGTGCCAGCCATGCCAGCACTCTGTGGTGACAGCAGAGTCCTTATTAAGTGCTGCAACGCTCTGGGCATTGCACAAGGCTCAGGGAGAGCACGGCCAGCTGCCAGCCAGGTCCCCGTGTCACCCACTGTCCCTCAGATGGCACAACTCGGCCTTCAGCTGGCACCACTGCAGGAGAGGCAGCCCCGGAGCAGCAGCTGCCTGCAGCGGAGCGCAGAGAGGAGGGGGAGCGCGAGTGGGGGCTCCAGTGAGACGAGGGGGGAGCAGGAGTGGGGGCTCTGGCCGGGAACAATGAAGTGCCACGAGCCCGGCTATTGTTGTGGCTGTGAAGGTCACGGTGCTTCCTGGGGACTGGGACATGGGAAGGGGAGAGAAGGTGGGAAAAGAGGGATGGGAAAAGCGAGCAGGGATGAGGACAAGAGAGAGGTGGGACAGAGGTGGGACAGAGATGAGAGCAGGGAAGAGGGGAAAGGGTTGAGGACAGAGAAGAAGGTACAGGGGAAAGAGAAAGGAAAGAGAAAGGGGTCAATGGAAAGGGTCTGTGGACAGAGATGAGAGCAGGGAAGATGGATGGGAATGGGAACCGGGAACAGGGAGCAAGGACAAGGAAAGGAGAAAGGGACAAGAAGCAGGAACAGGGACAGGGATGGAGACAAGACAAGGGACAGGGGACAGGAATGGGGCAGGGGACAGGGATGGGGACTCCCGCCCGGCAGACCCGTCCTTCCCTGGCCCCGGGGACTGACGGCAGGGAGACAAAGGCGGTGGGAGGCAGAGGCATGTGCCCCCCCCTCCCGTCTCCCCCGTCCCCCTGTGTCCCCATTGTCCGTGGCCGGGGTGGGGGGAGGAACCAGGGGGAGGGACCAGGGACCCCACAGTGCCGTGATGCCCGGGGCTCCCCGCGCTACCGGCGGCTCGGGGGGCTCTGGGGGGCCTCCGGGCGCGGCCGGGCGAAGCGGCCCCCTCCCCCCCCGACCGCCTGCCTTCCTCCTCCTCCTCCTCCCCCTCTTCCCCACCTCCTTCTCTTCCTCCTCCTCCTCCTCCTCCTCGCCGCCCTGCCGCCTCCCCGCCCCTCGCACTCGCCTCCCCGCGCCTCTCCGTGCGCACCGCCGGGGCCGAGCGCCGGGGCCGGGGCGGGGGGGGCCGGCGCCGGTGCGGGGGCCGGGGCCGGTGGCGGTGCCGGTACCGGAGGTGTCCAGCGCTGCCCGGCCCCGCCATGCCCCGCTCCTTCCTGGTGAAGAAGCTGAAAGCGGAGGCGTTCCCGGCCGCCGGGGCCCCTGCGCCCCCCTACGCCCCCCTGGAGCCCCCCTACACGCTGCCCGGCCCCGCCGCCGGCGATGGTGAGTGCGGGGCCGGGGGTCCGGAGGGGCCCCCCCGCCTCTATTGTCTGTGCGCCCGGCGGGGCACCGGGAGGGGGACACGGGGGGACGCGGGGCAGGACGGGGAGGGGTCCCCGCGTTGTGTCCCGCGGCGGGCGAGGGGTGCGGGGTGGGGTGTGTCATCCCTCGCTGTCGCCTTGTCCCCGGCGCCACCGGCCGCTGCCGAAGTTGGTCCTTGGGGAAACATCCCCTGCGTGACAGCGTCAGCCCCGTGGGCAGCCCCGAGTTCCCCCCGCCCGTGGGACACCGGGGTGGGCTCCTTCCCACGGCAAGCTGGCGGGGTAAAGGAGCAAGCGGTCTGCGGGGGCGGCGGGGGGCGGCAGCCTCGCCGTGCCGGAGGGTTTCATTGTTCGCAGCGGTGCCCCGAGCCCCCCTGGGAGCGCGGGGGGGTCGGCGCCGTCCGGGGCACGAGGAGCGGGGGGGAGACTGAGGAGTACCCCGGCAGCGGGAGGGGTGCCAAAGGCTGGACTTGGGGTGCCCGTGGTCCTTGGAATCCCGTCCTCCTGCGGGGGAACGCTGGGGTGGGCTCGGAGTTCCCCGGGCTTGGCACAGCCCCACAACGGGGCAGCCCAGAAAGGGGGGCTGGCCGTGGGTCGGGGGCTCTGTTGCATAGGATGGGGAGTCCTGGCTGCTCGTGGGTTGGGAAACGGAGCAGGATGCGGGAATGGCCCTGATCCATGCACAAGCTAACATTGCCTGGCCGCTGCAGCGCTTGTCCCCCTTTTTCTAGTGCTCCCCAGCCCTTGGGGGGGCTTTCCTTTCCAGGCACCGGGGTACGAAGCCTGTCTGGTCTGGGGGTCCTCTGCTCCCCCCATCAAGCAGGAGCCGGTGGGGGAGGGATGCGCTGCAGCTGGGCAGAAGCTGCCGACGCTGCTCTCCTGGAAATAACCTTGCTGCATGCTCGGAGGCAGCGTGAGAAATTGCTGAGCAGAGCGCTTTCTGCACAGCCCGCGCTGTCAGCACGGCGCGGGGGACGGGGGGGCCCGGCTCTGCCCCTGCCCCACAGCCCCCTCCCCACAATGGGCACCCCTGGGACAAACGGCAGCACTGCTTGCCAAGGGGTCCGTGGGTGCTGCCAGGGGCTGTGTGGATTTAGAGGATGCTCAGCTGCAGCTGTGGTGGGATGTCCCTGTGCCCCACGGTGTGCATGGGTCAGCCCAGCTGTGCACTGACCCCAGGCCCCCAATAGCCCCTCTGCCACTGTCAGTGGGGATGAGCCCTCTGAAGCAGCTTGCAAGGACCGGTGTGCACAAGGCAGGGGATTGCTGGGACCAGTTTGGGGGGTGCCAGTACATCCCCAGGACTGCTGGCCTGGTGGGAAGGGGGCTGCACTGCTGCTCCTGCTGTGACCTTTGTGTGACAGCTCAGAGGGACCGGGATGCCAACGCAGTGCCCGCTCTGACGCAGGTTGAGAGACCCACATACGGAGCAAGTCATGAGCTGACTTGCACCAATGTCACATGTGTGTGACGCCAGTGGAGTGGTACCCGAGCCTGGCTCCACATCTGAGGGGCTGTGGGTCGCTCAATTTGGCAGGAGGCCAGGGACTCGGTGCTGCTGCCCTCCTGGTGGTGTCCCATCTGCAAGGAATAGGCCCTGTGGGGACAGCAAAGAGGTGGGGGGCTTTCCCAGCCCCTTTGCTGAGGAAGGGGAACCTGGAGCAGCCTCATCCCCCTCATCCTGGCTGCCCACGGAGCGTAGCTCATTACCGGCACGGCCCCGGTGAACAATGAGCTCCCGGCACCGACAGCTGTCTGGCAGCTAATAGCCCCTGGGGGCTGCCCGCAGCCGGGGCAGGCGCAGCTGGACCATCCGCAGCTCCATCCCCAGTTCCCATCTCAGGCAGCCCTGCGGGATGGGACCCATCCTGCTGACAGATGCAGGCAGGAGCCAGGGCAGGACAATGCAGCTCTGGTGCTCAGGGGCTCAGTTGGGACAGGAACCAATTTAGGGGGGACAACCCTGGTTCTGCACCTTCTATGGGAAATTTTAGCTTGTGGTTTTTCCTGTCCCTGGTGTGGCTGCTCTGCAGGGACAATGACCCCACTGTGTTGTCCCCACAGGGTACCTCCAGCACTGCCTGGCGCCAGCCGGCTATGACACTGACAAGAAGCAAGGCCTGCCACCACCGCCAGCAGACCCGGCCTACGCACCCGGCCACGAGGAGTACAGCGACCCCGAGAGCCCCCAGTCCAGCTTTTCCGCCCGCTACTTCAACGGGGAGGCGGCAGTGACAGACAGCTATTCCATGGATGCCTTCTTCATCACGGACGGGCGCTCGCGCCGGCGCAGCGAGAGCCAGCGCCGCGGCAGCCACCGCCACTCCTGCCCCGAGTGCGGCAAGACCTACGCCACCTCCTCCAACCTGAGCCGGCACAAGCAGACCCACCGCAGCCTGGACAGCAAGATGGCGAGGAAATGCCCCACCTGCGGCAAGGCCTACGTCTCCATGCCCGCCCTGGCCATGCACGTCCTCACCCACAACCTCAAGCACAAGTGCGACGTGTGCGGCAAAGCCTTCAGCCGGCCCTGGCTGCTGCAGGGCCACATGCGCTCGCACACCGGGGAGAAGCCCTTCGGCTGCTCGCACTGCGGCAAAGCCTTCGCCGACCGCTCCAACCTGCGCGCCCACATGCAGACCCACTCCGCCTTCAAGCACTACAAGTGCAAGCAGTGCGAGAAGACCTTCGCCCTCAAGTCGTACCTCAACAAGCACTACGAGTCCGCCTGCTTCAAGGGCTCCGAACACAGCTGTGCAATAGGGAATTAGCCCCCCGAGCCCTGTGGCACATCCCCTTTCCCAACCTCATCCTCCTATCCAACCCCCATCCCCGTTCCCATCTCATCCCGTGCCCATCCCTATTCCCCTATACATCCCATCCTGTCCCCATCCTGTCCCCAGTCCCTGTGCCAGCACTCCTGCAGCTGCAGCCAGCTGGTTTGTTGCTGTGCTCAGTCTGGAGGACACATCCCCACAGACTCACTCCCCATCTGCTCCCTGGGAAGGGGGTCCCCCCCACATTGGGACCCAGCTCCTTTTCCCTGGGTCCCAGAGCCCCCCCGCAGCCAGGCAGGTCTCTCTGCGGGGGACTCACCTGGGGACCTCTTCCCGACCCAGGAGAGACTTTCCTCCCCTAGCTTGTGACTTTCACCTCTATTTATTTAATTTATTACTATTATTTATTTAGAGCTGCTGCTTCTCTTCCTGGGGGATCCTGGGGGAGAAAAGACACTTTTCTGCTCTCCGCTAGGAGCAAACCCTCTCCTTGACCCTAATCTTGATGAGACCACGGGCTGGTGTTCCTGCCAGCTCAGCAGGACTGATGGCCACTGAGGCTGACAGAGGGCAGGGCTGCCAGTCACCCTTGAAGCCTCGGGTCCCTGCAGCCCACCACAGAGGGAACCCGGCTGCCCCTCTGCCCCGTGGCACAGCGTTCACCCTGGCACTGCAGATCCGCAGCCCTGGAGTCAGGGGAAGAGCCAAGGGAGGAGCCAGGGGCTTCCAGCAGAGATCCACAGGACACAACCTCCATTGGCTCCCAGCTCCCAGCTTGGCCAGGCACAACTGGCCCCTGCCTCGGTGATGGGGAATAGCCCCCCCAGGCAGGTGCAGCCCCCTCACCACGCAAAGGGCTGGGCTGGCAGCTGGGCTGGAGACCCAGCCCTGGGCAGGTAGTACCCAAACCCCCAACCACCCCCCCATGTATCCCCAGCCCCTTCTCCAGCCGGCTCCCGGCTCCCTCGCCATTGCCCCCCACCTGCACTCAGGAGGAGGGGGTCAGAGTAGCTGTAAAGTTTGGGTGAGTCTATTTAAATGTTCTTATTTATATTATTTATAACTTATGCTTTTCACTATTTATTTGTCAAGACTGGCCGGGCCATGCCAGCGCTGGCTCGCAGGAGGTGGCAGAGCTGCAGCAGAACTGCCGTGCCCAGGACACAGCCACGGTGACACGGACGGGGACAGGACCCCCAGAGCGGCGGGCACGGAGGCAGGAGGGCACGAACTGGCCCGGCAGCCCAGGCTGCATGTCCTGCAAGCCACCCACAACGGCAAAGCCCTTCTCTTTTGTCTTCCTTGCTTCCACGGGCTCCTGCTTTGCTCCGTGCCCCGCGCCAGCCCAGCGGGGACACACCAGCCACTCTATGCAACCTCCCGGCGGAGCGCCCCGGCCCCGGAGCAAGCTCCGCGCACGGCATCCCGGAGCGGGGCCCGACCCACGCCTCCGCTTCCTACCTCGGGCCGCGAGTTGCCACAGCCCCATCACCCCGTGCCGGTCCCCAGCACTCGGGGACTCAGCCCGGCACCCGCGGGGCCGCACTCGCGCACCCCCACACCGTCTTCCTGCGCCGTCTTCCTCCCTTGCACCGTCTTCCTCCCGCTGCCTCGGTGCCTGTGTTGGTCACGGGTTGAGTGGGGATGTCCCTGTCATGGTCCTCTCGCTGCCATGGCACGGTGACCACACATCCGCGCCCCACAGAGGGGATGAGCATCGCCCTGGCCACGCAGGCACCCGCCGGGTTTTGCCCGCCATACCGGCGCCGTTCCGCGGGGCGCGGTGTCCTGAGGCCGGCAGGCTTGGAGCGCTGCGCTGCTGCCCCTCTCTCCTGTAAATAGCAGATACTACAGCAATAATTTTCCGTGCATGATAGATTTTTTCTGCCAGATTTTGTACTCGCCAGCCCCAGTATGACAAGTCTACTGAGATCCGGCCACCCGCAGTATTACTTGTAATGCAATTCAGGGATATAAAAGGGATTTCTGCCACTAACCATGTGTCTTGTGGGATTTGTGTCGGCGGTGGCGGGTGGTGGCACGCGAGCTGCCACCCTGCCCATCGACGGTGCCCTGTGCCCACTCCTGGGCTGGGGCATCCTGGACAGAACTGCCCCAAATGGAGGGGTGATGTCCTGGCAGCCCGTTGGGCGCCCAGAGCATTCCGCGCTGCCCACATGGCTCTGCCAGCCCCTCAGCCGGTGGGCAGGAGCCAGACAGCCCCTGCTGCGACAAGGAGGGGTTGCGGTGCCACCCTGCTGGTGAGAGCGGCGGGGCGCTGACCTGGAAGTAAATCCCGTGTGAAATCCCGGCAGCGGCGCGGAGCCCGGCGGGCAGCCCGGGAAGGGCGCCGGTGATGCTCACACACCCCGGATGGGGAGGATTCTGTGAGCACATTTTACTTGAACTCACAGGTGATGACAGCCCACTAGAGCCCCTGCTCCCAGGGGCAGACAGGCATTCTGCTCCCCACCCCTCTCTCCTCATCCTTTCCCAGATGTGGGTGCCAGTGGGGGAAGGCAAATTATTTCTAGCATGCAGCTTGTCAGCACAGACCTAGCTGAGCCCCGGGCTCCCAGTGACACCAGTGCAATCCTTCACCCACAAAGTCATTGCCAGATTCACCTTGCAAGAAAGGTGAATCTAATTCCAGAGCGTCACAAAACCATCCCTGACCATCATCTGCATGCTTCCGAGTCAGCTCTGGGGCTGAGGACCCTCCATGACACCAGGGAGCCAGGGTGAGGGCACTGGGAGCAGCCATCCCCTGCCATCGTGTCCCTGCTGTGGATTCAGGGTGTCCCCTGCAGCAGCCAAAGGGGTGGGAGACCCTGATCCTCCCAGGAGCCTCTCCCCGTTCGGATCACTGGTCTGAAGAAATGACCTAGAAAGACTCAGTGTGACCGTGTTCACAGGGGACTGAGGATGAGGGAAGAGAGAGGATCTGACTCCATGTTTCAGCAGGCTTGATTTATTATTTTATGATATATATTATATTAAAACGGTACTAAAAGAATAGAAGAAAGGATTTCATCAGAAGGCTAGCTAAGAATAGAAAAAGAAAGAATGATAACAAAGGTTTGTGGCTTGGACAGAGAGTCCAAGCTGGCTCACTGTGATTGGCCATTAATTATAAACAACTCTATGAGACCAATTACAGATGCACCTGTTGCATTCCACAGCAGCAGATAATCAATGTTTACATTTTGTTCCTGAGGCCTCTCAGCTTCTCAGGAGGAAAAATCCTAAGGAAAAGATTTTTCAGAAAATATCATGGCTACAGACTCAGGGCTGAAGTTCTTCCATGTCTGCCCAGCTGTGGAGCACCGCAGCATCACTGCTCAGCTCTGCAGTTATTTCACACCTCATCTTCCTTGCTGTGGACCCCATAGGTGTCAGCACAGCAGGGAGGGGGCTCTGGGTGGGGACATGTTTCTGGTACATCCAGGCAGGCAGGGGGCACATCCCAACTCTCAGCTGCAGGATGATCCTCAGTGCCCCAGCCCAGCCAGGTGGGACCCTCAGGGGCAGGACAGGGACCCCCAGCACACCTGGGGGGGCTCAGCTGCCGCATGCCCATGGGTGTCCCAGGCGAGGGAGGAGCCGAGGGCAGCCCTGACCGCGGGCTCTCCGGAGCAGGCAGCGGGCCAGCCGGCTCTGGCACCCGGCCCGGAACTCTGTCCTGCCCCTTCACTGTGACTCTGCAAAACACCGGGGCGGAGGCCGTGACGATGACGATGGCCGGGCAAGGAGGAAGTAGAGGGGTACGGCTGGGCGCTGCACTGCTCGGGGCAGAGCGCAGGGCTCGGCTGAGCACGACGGAGGAAAGCCAAGGCCGGCCGGCAGCCACAGCCATGGCAGAGGCCGAGGACAGGAGCATCCACACCCAGCACATCTCGGCCGTGCACAACGTGCCCATGCGGGTCCTCATCCGGCCCATCCCGGCAGAGCTGGAGCCGGGAAAGGTGCAGAGCCTGATGGAGACCCTGCAGGTGAGCACAGCCCCTCCTGCACCCGTTCAGAGGGCACTGCTGGGGAGCTGTCAGCGCCCAAGCCCTGGCACAGTCGGGGGGTGTCAGGGCAGGATGGGGGTGCCGGGGTGTGTTGCTCTTGGATGTCTCTTCCCCTTCCCAGGAGGATCCTGAGCGGGTGCCCCCCATCGACGTGCTCTGGATCAAAGGCAGTGAGGGCGGCGATTATTTCTACTCCTTCGGGGGCTGCCACCGCTATGCTGCCCACCAGGCACTGCGCCGGGAGACCATCCCCGCCAAGATCATCCCCTCCACCCTCAGCGACCTCCGGACCTACCTCGGCTCCTCCACGCCTCACCTGCGCTAGCCCAGCATCCCGAGGATGCCCAGCAGCCCCTTCTATCCCTGTTGGTTCCGAGCCGTGAGCCCTTCATGAGGATGTGGTCGGCGTGCCCAGCCCTGGGGAGTCCCCATGGTCCGTCCAGCCGGGATGGGTCAGGGTCCCCCAGACTTGGAGGATCCCCGAGGTTCCTGCAGGTGGGATGGGTCAGGGTCCCCAGACTCGGAGGGTCCCCGGGTCCCGGCAGCCGGGATGGGTCGGGCTCTCACCGGTACCGGGAGGCGCCCGGCGGGGCCGGCAGGTGGCGCTGTTGTGCCGCGCTGCGCCGCTCGGAGCGACCGCACGAACCGGGACGGGACGAGATGAACCGGGACGGGATGAACCGGGACGGGATGAACCGGGACGGGATGGACTGGTTTGGGTGGGATAAACAGGAACACGACGCAATCGGGAATAGCTGAACCATGATGGAACAGGCTAAACCGGGGCACGGCTCAACCGGGAATAGCTGAACCGGGATGGAATGGGTTTAACCGGGGCATGGCTCAAGCGGGAATGGCGGAACCGGAGCACACTGGAACTGGGACGAGTCACAGCTCATTCGGGGCACAGCTGAACCGGGAAGGGGTACAGGCGAACTGGGACAGAATAGAATCAGGACACAGGGAAGAGACCTGGCATGGCCAGTCCCCAGCCCTCCCTCAGTGACTCTGGGCTCACCAATGTCCCAGTCTCCATGGGGGACATCTCCAAAATCCTGTGGTGGGGACAGCCGCTGCTGCACCTGGAATAAAGATCATCAAAACTTCTGCAGCTCCTTGGTGTGGTGCTAGAGGGTGCTGAGGTTGGGAGCAGGGATGCAGTGGCCCAACACAGCACAGCATGGTGGCCTGGCACCAGCAAGAGCAGTGGCTGCGGGCACACAGAACGAGGATAGAGGGTTTGCAAGGGGATGATGTTCTGTGAGGGAATGGATGCTGTGCTAGGAGATGGATGCTGTGACAGGACAATGTTCTGCCAGCCCACCCTGCCACAGAGCTGAATTCAGGGTCAGCTCTGGCCCAGCTGTGGGGACTCATGTGTCCTGCCATGCTGGGATGCTGTCATTTCTGCAAGCACCACGTCCTCACCCCACGTGCAGCCTGGAAAAACGCCTCGAGCATCCCCTGGGCATCCCAGCATCCCTCTTAAGTCGAGAGCCTCCATCCAGGGAGGGGAAAGGCCACTGACTCACTCAGCACGCCGTGAGTCAGCAGAAGGATGGGAACTGCTGCGGACACTTCTGCCCCACCAGCCACGCTCCTTCCTGAAGGGATCCTGTTCCCCTAGGGCTGGGAGAGGAGGGCACGGCCAATTTGTCTGGCATGGGACGGGGCACAATTTCCTGCTGCCTCCACGTTTCCCACTGGGGAGGAGGAGCAGGGTGGGCTGGGGGCGCTGGGCGAGGGGAAGGGCCGGGAGGGAGACTCCAGAGCTGCATGTGCCGCGTGAAGGCAGCTGTGTGCCGGGAGGAAGCCCTGCAAGCACTCACCGAGAGCAGCCCTGGCCCGCGGCTCCCTGATGGGCCATAAATTTCTCCTCAGAATTGTGGCGTGCTAAAAAGTTTCCTCTTGTTAGAGAGCGGGGGGTGGAGGCAGGAGGTAGCAGCTCCTGCGGCAGCTCCTGGGGCAATGTGGGCATTTCCAGAGTGGTCCCAAATGGAAGTCCCATGGCAGGGACTGATGTCTGCCCATATCCTGTGTGCCCCCACTGCTGGGCATCTCACATGAACGCTGTTTGCCTCACTGTCCTAGGTTTGTGCCCCTCATCCCTTGGATAAGAGGCAGCTCAGCAGAACTGGGAATTCCACAAAGTGGGAATGAACTGAGGCTGCCCAGATCCTGCGGCTCGTTTTCCTGCAAGCCATGGAGGCTTCTTCCATCTGAGAAGCCTGCTGCAGGATCTGCTTTTCCAGCTTGCCATCCCCTGCAAACAGTGCCAAAGGTCCGTGCCAGTCCCAGGGTGTCCTGACATCCCTCCCAGGGCTCCCTGGCACTGGAGCTGTGTCTGAGGTGCTGTGTGAGCACCTCCAGGGCTGACTGCTGCATCCATGGGGCTGGCACGGTGTGGGCAGGGGCTGCTGGTGCCACAAGCCCCTGGCTGGCACAGGGATGGGTCCCTGCATTGCCTCCGTCCATCCGTGCTCCACCTGTCCCCCTTCCCTCTGCCTGACCCGCGGGGTCTCTGGTGTCGCCGGCTGACAGCCGATCCGGCTGCCTCCAATCCATTCGTTCCAGGGCAGGAACAAAGGAGCTTTGTGGGCTCCCCCCAGCCCGGGCTGAGTGGGGAGGGGTCCCAGCTCCGGAACTGGGACAGACTTCCCCGCGCGACAGGCGTGTAATGCCTTCCAGACCAGCAGCCCCAGCCCTCAGGTACAGCCCGGGGCCAGGGGGGGCTGGTGCTTCCCACACTGCCTGGGGACCCACCAGGTCACCCTGACACAGCCCTGATCCAGGAAAATGGGGGAACTCTCCTGTTCCCCAAATGTTCCACAGTGCCCAGTCCCCATGGCACTCACTGCTCCTCCCCAGCCAGGGGGCTCCGGGGGCTCCCCGATTTGCCATCTCTGGTCTGCCAGCGTTGGGGAGCAGGGATAAACTCCCCTGGGATGAGACCCCTGCCTCACTGGCCTCAGCTGGACAGGACTGGGCATTTGGAATGGGGCAGTTCCCAGGCCTGTGGCCTCACTGGCCTGAGCACCCTGAAACTGGGCAGCCACAGGCAGAGGGGGCAGTCCTGGACACCCCCCAGAGCCAAGGTCTGGTCAGGGGCTGTGGATTCGGGGCACTGAGTAGGATGGGATGGGGCAGGATGGTGTGGATGGGTTGTGATGGGATAGGAGGGGACAAGATAGGACAGGGTGGGATGGAATGGGATGGGATGGGATGGGATGGGATGGGATGGGGTGGAGTTGAATTGATCAGTCCAGCACTGCTCCACCAGGGCTCAGCAGGGTCAGGCCCAGTGCCCTGGTGGCCACATGTTCCAGCACTGCCCTGGGTCTGGAATCCATTTGCCTCGCTGGCCGTGGTGTTTTCCCAGCAGGGCTGGAGCGTTCCCGCGGGGCCGGGGGCAGCCCTGGCCCCTGCCCCATCTGCTCCCTGTTTATTTTCTTACACTTAAGTATCACCTCCAAGATAAACACTCCCTGGTGTGGGGGGCAGGGGGCATTTCCCTGGCAGCAGAGGCAGAACCCAGCCCTCAGGGTGCCCAGCACCCTGACCCCACAATGCCCAGCAAGCAGGAGATGCCTGGCTGGATGGAGTCAGGGCTGCAACCCCGTGCTCAGGCCATGTCCCCTCCATGCTCTGTGTCCCATGCAGGGTCCCGTGAATGCCTGAGCCACTGCCTGGCACTGCTGTCTGCCCGGGGGTTGATTAGTTGGCTGGGTCAGCTGTGGTGCCAAACCACACTGTGTCCTGGCAGAAGGTTTGTGATGCCTCAGCTGCACCTCGCACTGCCCAGCTGAGTCAGGGCCCAGGCCACAGAGCTGGGGGAGCTGGGGGGGCCCGGGCACAGGGACTCATGTCCCATACCAGATGCCTGCCAGGCAGCACAGGAAAACCTGTCTGCTGCCACACGTCCTCCTGCCCCACAGCCACAGCCTGTACAGGCAGCTGGACAGGAGGGAGCTGGCAGCATTCCCTGCTTCCCATGGCTCCTGCTGCTCTCCCAGCCAGGGATGACAGGTCCTGTCCATCCCTCCTTCTGTCTGCAGCATCTGGTCACATATACACACGTCTGTGCCAGCACGGAGGTGTCACTGCAGCAGGAGGTGGTGGCATTTGGGGTTTATGTGGCACCCACAGGCACACATCCATGTGGAGCTGCACAAACACACAAACACGTGCACACAGCCCCATACTCACACATATCCCTGTGCACACATCCATGCTTGCTGGGATGTACAGATGTGTGCAGCTGCACACCCCCACACACACTCATGGGCACACATGCGTGCTGTCCCCGCCACACTGAGCCATCTCCTGTCTGCTGCTCCTTCCCTGCCTGTGCCCTGCCATGTTCCAGACCCCACAGGCCACCAGCACCCCACACGTGGCCATGCCCCCCAGAAAAGCCCTGGGGCAGTTTGGCTGGGCGTGGGGACTGGGTGACCCCCCCAGCCTGTCCCTGCCAGCTGGTGGCCATGTGTGGGACGTGCAGCTGAGTACACAGCCCCTGCCATCCGTCTTACCACCTGTCAGGGCCGGGGGCTGCTGTGGCCCCCCAGCCACGGCTCAGCAAGACTCTGGGGTGAGAGGGGGGCAGAGTGGGGGTTCCCCTCTCTGTACAGGCACCTGCCTGTTCCCTGCCTGAGCCCTGCCTGCCATGCCAAGGGCCTGTCCATCCCCAGCTTTGCCCCTGGCACTGCCTGCTCGTGCCCTTTTTTGGGGATCTGCACTTGGGTAAATGCTACAGGAGAAGGTTGGGGTCCCTCATGGGGACTGAGGCATGGTGAGAGCTGCCAGTGCAGACACAGTGCAGACCCCTGCCCATCCTCATCCCCAGGAGGATCCCTGCCCTCTTGCTCAGCCCTGCACGTCCCCAGCCCCTGGTGTGGCCCTGCATGTCCCCTGCTCCAGTGGGACCCCTGGCCCTTGGTGCAGCCCTACAAGTCCCCAGCCCCAGCCAGACCGCCAGCCCCCAGCCCCTCTCTCTGCCCCCCACTGCGTGATTTACAGGCTCTGCACAGGCAGACAAATGGTGAAGGAAAACAGGGCAGGGGGTCCCGCCAGCCGGGGCTGCCTGTGCCCTGCGGGGGGCAGAGGGGCCGTTTGCTCACAGCCAGCAGGGTGGGAGGCAGTGAAGTGGCTCCTGTGCCAGGCAGCACAGCTGCCCCTGTCATGGCCCAGCAGCCACAAGCCCTGGAAGCAGTAGGAGAGCCCATGGAGGGACCCAGACCCCAGGAGCCATACCCCAAGCTGCAGTTCTGCAATCTGCTTTTGCCCAGGGAACACTGAGGAACATGATGCCACCCCATCCCATGGCCCCCAGGGCACCCCACTGGGGTGTTTGTGATATCCCATGGCCACTCTCTCAGCCCTGGCAAGCCTCCAAGACTTCCCCCAGCATCCCTCTCTGGCTGTGGAGCTGCTGGGCAGTGGGGGCTGCAGCTGGCACTGCCAAGTCTCCCAGCCACATCCCCGGCAGCCCTGGGCTATCTGCCCGGAGCCAGGTCCTGCCCTCCACGTGTTTTTGCCGCTTGACCTTCATCGTGCCTGGAGTACTGTGGAGGAGGAGGAAGGGGAGGAAGGCGGGCAGGAAGCCTCCTGCCTGCTCGGTTCAGCTGGCTGCCCCCCTGCCTGCTCCTGGGAGGGTTGGGCTCAGGGCTGGGGGGTTGAGGGCAGAGTGGGACCCGCACAGACCCCTCTGGTGAGGAGGAGCAGGGCCATAGTCTGTGGTACTGAGTGCCAAGGAATGACAAGGAGCGATGGTGAGGTCGGGGGGCACCCCCAGCCCTTCCCAGGACACCGGTGATTCCCGCTGCTGCCAGCTCATCGCTCCCCTCTCAGGAAAAGACTCCGTGTTTCCACTGCCGGCACACACCTTCCTCCTGGGCGGGAGGAAATGCTCCTGGCAGCGCTGCCGGCAGTGCTGCCCCTGCCTCTGCACGTGTCCCTGTCACCTCCCAGGCTGAGCAGGCACCGAACAGAGGAGCAAGGAGTGCATCCCTGCCGGGCTGCCTGCCTTGCTGCTCCCTGACTGCTCCGGGCATCCTTCTGGGCACAGACCGTGTCCCAGGGGGCATGGCAGGGTGTGGGCAGCAGGGTGTGGGCAGCAGAGTGTCCCCCTCTGGCATTCCTCTGATAAACACCCTGGCACTGCACCAGTGCCACCCTCTCCTGAATGCCTTCCCCATCCCAGCCCCTGTGCCCCATGTTCATCTCGTGCCACCCTATGCGGGACCCAGGGTGGCAAGGGACAGCCAGGCAGGGGTGGGGACGCGCTGTGTGTGCGCTGACTGTGTGTGACATTGCTCTGCAGGTGCCAGAGGCCACGGCACGGGGAGCACTTGTCGGAGAGTGCCCCGGGCACTGCCACGGCTCAGTTACACCGCGGGCATGACCCGGGGTCAAGTGCCCGCAGCCAGGCCAGCGTGCCGGAGCGGGGCCAGGCCAGTGGCCAGAGCCAGGGCTGGGGTGAGGACGCTGGCCGCTGGCCGCTGGCCGGAGCTCGGGGGGCCGGCTGGGGGTGGGCTCCGGAGCCAGCCCCTCCCCGGCCGTATAAATCCCGATTCCCCCTGCAGACAGCCGTCCCAGCCCTGCTCGGCTGCCGCGGCGGAGCAGCCCCGGGAAGGCGCCCGGAGCCGCCGTCGCAGCTGTGCCGGCGGGGGAAGGCTCGCCGCAGCCCGGGGGGTGCCCCCAGCGGGGCCGGGGGTGCGGGCGGGCGCCCCAACATGGCCTTCACCATGCTGCGCCCCGTGGCCGCCCGCGTGCTCTACCCCGACCTCAGCATGCTCTCGGAGGACGAGGAGAACCGCAGCGAGAGCGACACGTCGGACCAGTCGTTCGGCTGCTGCGAGGGCGCCGAGGCTCGCCGCAAGCTGCCGCGGAAGCCGGGCCCGATGGTGATGGTGAAGCAGCGGCAGGCGGCGAACGCGCGGGAGCGGGACCGGACCCAGAGCGTCAACACGGCCTTCACCGCCCTGCGGACCCTCATCCCCACCGAGCCCGTGGATCGCAAGCTGTCCAAGATCGAGACGCTCCGCCTGGCCTCCAGCTACATCTCCCACCTGGCCAACGTGCTGCTGCTGGGCGAGGGCTGCGAGGACGGGCAGCCCTGTTTCAGTGCCATCTATGGCGCCAAGGGCGACCTGGACAGCAAACAGCCCCGCAGCATCTGCACCTTCTGCCTCAGCAACCAGCGGAAAGGGGTGAGCGGGGCTCCGGGATGGGTTAGGGTTCCTTGCTGGGCTGAGCAGGGCAGGAGACTTGGCATGGCTCAGTGAGAACCACAGCTTCTGGCTCCAGCTCCCACTGGAGGTTTTGGCTGCTCCTGGCCAAATCCTGCTTGTAGCCACACGCCTACAGCTCCTGCTCACGTCAGAGGGCTGGGCTGCTCCCCCACGTCCATCCGGGCCGGGAGGTCTCAGGGGTTAAACAGTCACCCCGGAGCTGGCGGCACTGGTTGTCCCAGGGGGGCTTGAGTTCGCTGGCTGACCTCTTCTCCATCCTCATCCCCATCCCCATCTCCATACCCAGCCCTTCCAGCCCACCAGCACTGCAGCAGGGCTGCTCCAGCAGCTCCCTGATGTGATGAGGACGGGAAGAGTCCAGCAGACACCCCCAAGGGGGCCCAGACAGAGTTCCCCATCCAGTGTTCCCATGCAGGGTCTGCTGGCAGCACTGGCACAGCTCCCACACGGCTGAGCTGGGCCATGGCAGAGCACCCCTGTCCTGCCCACCCAGCTGATTTCCCCCAGCACCCTGTGGCTCAAGGGACACCTTTGCTGTGGTGAGCCCACCCTGCTGCCCATGCCAGGGTGTGCTTGACCCAGGAACATCTGTGCAGGATTGGGGTGCAGGGTGAGGGGCTGGAAGCTGCCCGACCTCTTGGACATCCCTTGGCAGGGCTGTGAGCAGGGGCTGCTGTACTTGCTGCTGTCCCCCTGTCCCATGTGTGACCCCAAGCAGTACAGCCATGGGTCACACTCCAGCCCTCAGAGATTTTTCATGTTTTGCTGCTCCACTTTTAATTGCTCCCCTGCTCCTGCTGCCCCCTCAGCAGCCTCTCCAGCCCTCCTGGGGTGCTGCAGCCCTGGTCCCTGGCAGAGCTGGGATCCTCTGAGCTGCTTCCTGGGGCTGGAGCCAGGGGTCTGGCACAGTGCTGGATCCCCAGGGGACCCTGTGGAGGAGGCACTGGGGCTGGGAAGCTCCTGCTGGAGGGCAATGGGAGAGCTGGGTTGGGATCTGACTCTGCATCCCAGCCCTGAGACTGGAAAGGGGCTGTACAGGGCTGGAAATGGGCAGGGCTGGAAATGGGTTGTGCTGTGCTGGAAATGGCCTGGAAATGGGCTGTACTGGACCACGCTTGGCTGTGCAAGGCTGGAAATAGGCTGGGTTGGAACTGGGCTCTGTTGGGCTCTGCTGATCCGTGCTGAGTTATACTGGAATGTTCTGGGCTAAAGCTGGACCATGCTGGGTTATACTGGGCAGCACTGGGCTGATGTTGTTCTCATAAACTGTGAGGTAGAGCTGAGTCTCCCCATCCCAGTTTGGACTCTGTCTGTCGGGGCTGTGGATCTGTCTAGGGCTGTGTGTCTGTCCTGGGGTGCTACTGGCCCTTGCTACAGGTCTGAGCCCTGCGGTGCTGAGCAGCCATGGGGGCTGTGTCCTGCAGGGTGACAAGGCCAAGGGAGACCCCCCCTGGAGGGCTCCACCACAGCACCCACCTCAGCCACACACTCCACCACTTGTGAGGCATAGCCCATCTGTCTGTCTGTCCACTCCAGGCAGCACAGAGCCATCCCAGGACTGAGCCATCTTACAGTGGGTCCCCATGGAGGGGTCGGTGTGGGGGGCAGCGAGCAGGCGCCCCCCACCCAGACACCCCACGGTACCTGCAGCTCTCCCTCCTCCTCTCTCCGCAGGGCAGTCGGAGGGACCTCGGGGGCAACTGCCTGAAGGTGCGAGGGGTGACGCCCCTGCGAGTGTCGCGGAGATGAGCCGGGCTCCGGCAGCGCCCACCTGACACAGCGGCGGAGGCAGACGGAGCCCGCGCACGCCAGCCCAGAGACCGCAGCGGGGAGGGAGGGAGCTGCTCACCTGAGGAGGCAGCGGCCGAGCCCAGGCTGGCCCCACACCGCCACTGGCCCTGGAGCCGCCAGGGGGGCGGGAGGACGCTCCCGTGGCCGAGGCTGCCCACGCGGGGCAGGCCCGGGGAGGGGTCCCCGCGCCCCGGGGCTGGACTGGAAGGGGCCGGTGTGCGGCCGGCGTCGAGGCGCTCCGGGGGGACAGTGGCCCTGGGGGTGCTGGTTGTGCACGTGCAGCCGCTTGGAAAATAAAGCCTTATTTTTCTGATGGGCCAGTGCCTGCCTGTCACCCCCGTGTGGGGTGACGTGGGGGTCCCCAAGGTGGCTCTGGAGCCCCAGCCCAGCGCTGCTGCTCTGTGCTGCTGGAACCAGTGTGATCATCTCAGCCCTACCCCACATGGGTAAGACCCCTGGGTGAGCGGTCCCTGTGTCCCCAGGCCCTGATGTGTCCCCAGCTTTAGCCCCACAAAGACTGCAGAAGTCCCAAGGGGGTCAGTGTCATGCCATGGGATGAGGATGGCACTGCCAGCCCTGTGGTGCAGCCATAAGTGCCCAGTTGATGGGTCAGGGTTGGTGTAACTGCTTTGGTACCCTGCCCTCCACCTGGTACATCATGACTGGCATGATGTCACTGCCACCATCACCACTGCTGCCACCAGCACAACGACTGTCCCCACTGTGGCTGCCACCGCCACCACGATGACCATGCAGAGCCTTGTACAGTGGGGTTGCAGGGCAGCAGCAGCTCCTGCACGGGGTCAGGTGGGGACATGGGGGGTTCCCAGGCCAGATCCCCACATGGGATTCTGCTTGAGGGGCTGGACTGGCTGGCCAGTGCAGATAGCTGAGCCTGGGAATGGTGCAGTGCCGGGGCTGGCGGCTCCCAGGGGCCGCCGTGTCCCACGGAGCAGAGGCAGCTGTGGATGGGGCAGCTGGGGGCTCCCCCAAGGGCTGCAGAACTGGAGCTGCCCTGTCTCCCTAGGTCCTGGAGCCAGCATGGAGCAGGGGCAGCACGCTGGGGGTCCCGCTGGAGCCTGCCCCAGGCAGGGGCTCTGTTGGGAGCCCACAGCACCTCTTGGCTCCCCGCTCACCGAGGTGAGCCTGCCCTGGGCTCCCTCCCCCGGGTTTGATTTATGGAGCTGACAGCGCGGTGCAGCTGTGAGAGCTGGTCCCAAGCAGGGACCGGGGTGGGTGGGAGAGGTTTGTTCTCAGCGTGGCTAATGTGTCCCAGACCCCAATAAACAGCCGTGAGATTCTCCAAACAGCCCAGGACACAGAATCCCTGCCCCCGGGTTTATCGGGGGGCAGGGGCCGTGGGGGATGCTGTGCTCTGCAAACAACCCGACCCGCACATAAAAGGGGACTGTCCTCATGAAGTAGCAGCTCTGGAGCCCCCAGGGGGTCAGCAAGGGCTGATGGTCCCAGTGCTGGGGGCACAGCAGGTCCCAGCACCGAGTGTATAGGTCCCAGTATGTCCCAGGGCTGAGCATCAGTGTCCCAGGATGTCCCAGTGCCAGCAATTGGAGCCTCAGCAAGCTCCAATATGAAGACCATGAGCCCCAGTGAATCCCTGCAGAGGAGCTGTGCATCCAGGATGTCCCAGTGCCAGAGACTGGGGCCCTAGAAATCTCCAGTATAAAGGCAATGTATCCCAGTACATCCCAGTGCCGAGGCCGTGGGATCCAGCATGTCCCAGTGCTAGGGCCATGGATGTCACCACACCCCAGTGCCAAGGATGGCACAATGACCCCAGGACAAGCTCCAGTGTAACAGCCCTGAGTCCCAGCATGTGCTAGTCCAGCAGCTGGGCACCCAAACACATCCAGTGCCGGGGCTGTGGATTCCAGCACATCCCACTGATAGCTGAGGCTGTGGATCCCAGCATGTCCCAGCACTGGGGCCACGGCTCCCAGCGTGTCCCAGTGACAAGCCTGTGGGTCCCAGTACATTCCAGCCCCTCCCAGCACCACGAGAGGGGAAGCGGTGACTCAGAGCTGCCGGGCTGGTGGGAGCTGGGTGCCCCTTTGCCCCTGAGGGGTGAGTGCTGTGGCCACCGCCGGCTCCCCGGCAGCCCCGGCCGAGCCCAGCCACGCTCCCCTCCCATCCTCTCCCCTTCCTGCGTGCAGACACCCTTGGAAAGGCTCTTGGCCGCTTTCTCTGAGACAGGAAGGTGTCCCCGAGTCTCAGGAAGGAAAAACACTCAGTGCTGAACCCACAAAGACCGTCTCTGAGGGGCCAGGGCTGGAGAGGCTCCAGGCCTGACATCACCTGGGAACTGGAACCAGAACCGCAGCTGCACTCCGCGCCTGGTATTTTTATTTTTTTTTAACTTGTGTTTTTAAACTTTCTTTTTATAGATTTTTATTTTATTATTTTTTTCCCCTTTCCCTTCTCCATTCCCCTCCCAAATATTTCAGCCTCCCGCAGGCTGGCCAGCCAGGCTGGAATGCAGCAAGGCTGCACCCGCGGGTGCCGGGAGCTGCCTTGTGGTGGGACGGATGAGGCTGGGTCTGGTCAGACAGGAGCTGTGGGCAGGGGTCAGCCTGGGGCTCACCCCCAGTGACCCCTGATAGCCCCTGGCACTGCTGTGCTGCTGGGAAGGGATCCATGGCCAAGCAGGGACACAGGAGGGTCAGTCTGGCCGTGGGGTGTGGGAGGACAGAGGGCACAGGGGTCAGGCAGAGCCTGCAGTCCGTGGGCAGCGCTGCTAACCCTGACCCATCGCCCCCAGGATGGGGAGTCAAACCATGTCTGAGTCTGAGTCAGCGGAGCAAGAGGAGCCAGACAGGGATAGAGGATACAAAGACAGATTTTGGGGCCAGGATTCAACCCCACTCATTCCTTGTCCTTTGGCAACACCTTTGTGTGCTGCCTGAGCCTCCCTGGGCTTCCCCCAGAGTGGAGGCTCATGATAAAGACCCTAGAGTATCCTGGAGCAAAGCTCAGTTGTTTGTTGCCTGGAGAATCCTCCCTGTGACAGTGACAGCCATCAACTGAGTGTCACAGGTCACTCTGAGCCCTGTCAGACCTGGGGGCGAAGGACTGAGAACGGACTCCCAAGGTCCAGATTGCACTGAGGATAGGGTGACACATCTCTGCTGCCCAGGGCAGGGTGGAGAGAAGGATCAGGGAGGGATGGGATGGGATGGGATGGGATGGGATGGGATGGGATAGGATGTGGGATGGGATGTGGGATGGGATGGGATGGGATGGGATGGAATGGGATGGAATGGAATGGAATGGAATGGAATGGGATGACCAAGAGGAAGCACGATGGTCCTCCAGGTGGGGTGCTGGGCAGTCCCGGCTTCCCTGTGCCAGCAGACACAGACTGTACTGATCCTCCAGCATCCTGCAAGAATCCCTGGGAAGAAAATGGGCAAAGGGTCTGCCTGAGACCCCCAAGACACCTGCCAGATCCTCACCACCACAAGGGATGCACAGCAAGAGCGCCCCAAGGTCCCACACATCCCAGGGGTGCGGCGGGCGCTGCTGCAGGGCTGCCACCACCCCGCCACGTCCCCCCCACGCACAGGAGCCCTCGGAGCTGCTCTCCCTGCTGGGACCTCGTGCCAGGTGGGCTCCCTGGGGACACGGGCCCCGCAGCAGGGACAGGGTGTGAGGCCGTGGCGCGGGGTGAACGCCAGGTTAATCTCCCGCTGGAGCTTCCCTCTGCAAACAATAAGACAATGCCCGGCCGGGGCCGCCTGCGTAACCAGCGGCGCGGAGGGGAAGTTGTAATATTTGGATTTAGCCCTCATTAAATTAAGGAAGAAAAAGGAAAAAACGCTGGGGGTAATCAGAGCAGGGCTGGCCCCGTGCCCTGCCCCACAGCCAGCGGCCCTGGGGGCTCAGCTCAGCCCGTGGGCAGCAGGTGAGCAGGGCCAGAGGCTCTGAGTCAGTGAGGCCGGGCATGGATGGGAGAGGGACATGTCCCTGAAGGGCAGGCAGAGGACAGGCATGTCCCCATCTCGGGGACAGCAGCCTGGAGGGTCAAGGCTTGGATACCCAGCAGGGCTGTGGGCAAACATCTCCAGCCACATCAGAAAAAAGGGATCTGGGCCAGGAAGTTATTTTAATCCAAACCTCTTCATGGGAAATAAAATCCTATTTCTGCAGCTGGGGTGGCTGGGCAGGAGAGGGCCCGGGGGGGTCGTCACCTTCAGCTGGCAGTGGGTGGCAGGGGATGACAAGGGAGGGGCTGTCCCAGGATGTCTCCATTGCACGGCCCCTTTCCCAGCACAAGCCCTGCAGTGGTGCTGCCTCCCTGGGATCCCACGGCAGGGCCCTCACTCAATCAAACAGGCACCGTGGCTGGACATGGGGCTCTGAGAGGGGGTGGGAAGAGGTCTCACTGCAGGGAATGCCTGCACATGCTCAGGGCAGGAACAGTGCTGCAGGGATGGCCTTAAACCCTCCAAAATGGGGGCTTTTCACACACCAACATCGCCACTCCCCCAGGGCTGCTCCTGCCTGACCTGGCCCCAATGGGGTGAACAGGACAGGGACACCCCAGGGAGCCGGTTTGGGGGGTCAGGGCTTGACCTCAGAGAGCTGGTTTGGGGGCAACAGGGCTTGACCCTAGGGAGCTGGTTTGGGGGTGAACAGGGCTGGACACAAGGGAGCCGGTTTGGGTGGGTAAGGGCTTGACCCCACACTGCAGGATTGAACTGGGGTCTTGGGAGGGCTCATCCCGCCCTGTACCTTGGGGAGACCCTTCCCCTACTTGGTGCCCCAGGGTGGTGTGGGGCTGGCAGGAGGCTGGGGCAGCTGGGGCAGAGGTGACCAGCGGGCAGCAGCGGCTCGGGAAGGCCTTCGGCACCGTGCCTCGCGCCGGGAGCCCATTTCCCCACAACAGGGGCCCTTATCAGCGGCAAATCCTCCGAGTGCTCCCAGGGGGGACCTCCAGCCCT